GGGAAAACATTGATGACATTTTTATAAGAAAGAAATACAGACAGAAAGCTTGAAGTATTATCTTTGACTTTAGTAGTCCTGGGAGACTTCGTAAGCAACTACTGCAACCAATCCGCTTGAAGAGATGTAATTTACTGAATGACAAGGCAGCATGTAGCCATGCTTTGGAGACAGAAACAAGAAGAACGGCAGATGCTAGCTGAAGTTTTGACAGCCACTGTGGCAATCCTGGAAATATACCCTGAAATGAGTAAGGTAATTTGGAAGAAGCGTGAGACTCTACTCATCTCCTCATTAATCTTTGTTCAATATGCGGGTATTGACAGATCAGCATGTCTTTCATTTTCTAGAAATGGTCTAGAACCCTTTAGAGTCTACAGAATCTCAAGAAGCACAGAAGCCTGAGATAATAAAAAAAAACCATTACCTTCCTCCCAGTACGAGCAGCTCACTTTTGTTCAGCCTCTGTGTGGCTGCATTTTTACCCAGAAGGGATCCTAGAACTTGAATATTCACTTTGGCTGGTGAAATAACATGCATGCAAGTACAGCTATCTCCGAGCAGTTTCCAGAGGCAAGATACATCAGGACGTTGCTTTGTTGCCCTGTAATCAATGGTACAGAAAACCCTCACAACACCCATTCAGACACTTCAATATCCTTTGCTGAAAGGAAATTGACCACTTCAGCACATATAATGCAATTATAATGTAATTAATCAAATGTAATTAATCAATGAGCTGTTCGTCTTTTTTTATTATTATTTTCTCCCTAATCAAGTTATGGGTCTAAAAGATCAAAAATAACCAAAAAAGCCCCTACAAAATGCCAATATATCCCAAGTTTGTTGGGACTAAGAGTCAGTTCTGCTAATTATCCATTATCTGTCAACTTGTAAGGTGACTATACCCACATTAGCATTTCAGAGCACTACCATGTTACATCAGAAACCATGACTCATCTGCAGAAACCTGATGAACCTTCTCCTACAAGAGCAGCTATCCCAAGGTTTAATTTAGGACACTAAAGCATTTTGTATGAAACGTAAAACAAAAAGTTTGAGGGAGGGTAGGAACAATTTCCTCTTATCCACCATTTTTGGTAGAAACTCCCTCTTGCCAGCTCCATATATAGAGGATGACTGCTGGAGAGAATTGTGTGTCATTTCACACTTGCATTGTAATCAAATTACTAGGTATCTTTAATCAGAAAAAAAACCAAACTCTATAATTACTATTCATTAAAGCAGCCTAAGTCCAGAACATATTATTCAAACCCTTTCCAATAACCACATTCTTGCTTTTAGATCAGACACCCGGTCTATTTAATTTAGTTTACTATAAATCCTCAAATACGTAACTCTTATTCTTCTGCCTATCAACTCATTATCCCACTTGATGTTAAATGACTGAATATTTAGTACTAACCTTGTAAAAAATTCAAGAGTCTGCTCTATGTAATCCATAGCCTTTCTATCAAAAAAGTTATCAAGGGCTGATCTTGCCAAGCTCAGATAGCATTCACCAAGTCCTGAAAATAAAAGAAAATATCCTCCATGAAAAGCAATGCTTTTATGATCTGCTTCATAAAAGAAGTGGGGTGGGAGGGTGGAAGCCTGCACAGTGTTCTGCTTGGTATAAAGATTTATACCCTGCACAGGGTATGCCAAATTCAAAAGACCCACAGTGCTCACAATACAGACTTTGCTTTTAACCTATCTTGCCAAGTGTGAACTGTAGAATAACTTGAATATTAAAATAAACCAAATAAAGTATAAAAAACACAGCACTCAAGCTTTGGGTTTGTCCTCAAATATTAAGTAAACCCCTTGTGAGAAATCTGCTCTGCACTGGCAAGTCTTCAACAAACATACCAACTTTCAGTTGACACGAGTGAAATAACATTTCCAAAACACAAACAGAAGAAACAATGTCACAGTAGGCTAAAGGGAAAGCCTTCTTAGAAGAAGATTCGAAACGAACCTTATTTAATCCTACTTACGTAAGAATTTACTTCATATGGTGTATGGGGTCTAGCTGGGATGTAGTTAATTTTCCTCACAGCAGCCCTCATAGTGCTGTGCTTGCAAGGTGTTAGTAACACACCAGTGTCTTGTCTGCTGCTGAGCAGTGCTCCATATCATCAAGGCTCCAGCATCCCCCCCACCAGCAGGAGTGGGCAAGATCTTGGCAGGGGACACAGCCAGGACTGCTGACCCCAACTGACCAAAGGGATATTCCAGACCATATGATGTCTGCTCAGCAAAAAAACCTAAGGGGAAAGGGTGGGGGAAGGGGGGGGCAGGGAGGGAAATGTCACAACATTCATTATTGCAGTGTTTGTCTTATGGAGCAACCACTACGCATACTGAAGCTCTACTTCCCTGGAAGTGGCAGGACATCACCCACTGAAGGGAAGTAGAGAAGAATAAACCTTTTGATTCCCTTTGTTTCTGTGTGCGGCTTTTGCTTTACGAACCAGCCTTTATCTTGACCCACTAGTTTTTTCCATCTTATTTTCTCCCCCACCCTGTCCTGCTGAGGTAGGAAGTGACAGCGCAGCTTGGTAGGCACCCAGTGTCCAGCAAGGCCACCAGGTATGGAAATAAAGGCAACTGTTAAAAAGGAACTGCATTTAATGACACAATTTCTAGCATTTTGTAACCAATGAGGTAAGTAGGTAACTGCTTGATTTATACTCTTGCTGGCACAGCAGTGATTCTGTCTGGCAGTAAGTCATGGTACAACTACCATTCATTCCCAGCATTATTTTCACAGTTCTGAAGCTACCTTCCTTACGCTGTCATAGCCTTTACCTATACCCAAGCTACTCATCACAGTAGTCATGTTTTGCAAGATCTTTATCTTCCCCCCACTAGGTATTTGTTTTGACCACAAAAGACATCCCAAGATCATGAGCTTCTGAGATGTCAAGAAGCAATGTATTCTAAACTCAAAACTGGTCTTGTGCCCCGAAGTTATACACTAAAAGATACGCTGGAGCACAGGCAGAATAAACATACCATTTATTAACACAAAAATAAAATACATCAAGAAGATGTATTCAAGTAACATCAGTATAGTTGTTTTTTTCACCTTCTAGACTATGCTTTCAACAACTCAATTCCAAAACATCTAAATGGATCAGAAAAGAACCAAAAGAACACTGAGGTATATTTCAGAGAGTTTTAAGAAGGCCCATAAAAGATAGCACACCAGACTAAACATTAAACAACCCTAAGGCGGCAAAGACTGTTTGGAGGCTCAAAGGAGGGTCTGGAGCTAACAAAACAGAGATTAGGATGAGAAGGATTACGAGAGATGATTTAGAAGATCTAAGAAAATAAGGTAAGTATAGAGGTAACTATAGGGGAGGAAACCTTGATACCACGTGCTTACATCTTACCTAAGCATTTTATTCCAGGTAATGCTGTCAACAGTCACCTACAGAAACCAGAAAACCCATGTATACACATACATTTCTATACACCACCTCTGCAAACTGCTGCTGCAGTCAGCTGCTGCCTTCTTGCCCAACTAGTCAAACTCTCTATCCACAATATTCTTGAACTCCATCATGGAGCTTTTGCCATGTCACTTCAGTCTGGCAAACTCCAAGTGACAAATTTATACAGGAAGAGGTAGATGTACAAACAGCCTGTATACTTTTCAAGTAATATACTTACTGTCGGAATAGTAACCCAACAATTCTGACTTAGTCTTACAAGAACCAGCTTACATTCATCCCAAAATCAAAAGGCCTTATGCACAAGGAAAGAACACTCTGTAACATGAAACTTCATACTGGTACCAAGCAATAAACAGCATCTATTTCAGACGGATGTGTGGAGTGAGAATGACTGAATACTAGTGTCAGAAAGATTGTGAACTGAACAGTTCTTCTGTGGCCACTAAAACATTATACATTCCCAGTATCATGCATCTTAAGAATCACAGTTCTAACACCAGAATGGAATTTCAGTTACCCTATTTCTCTCTGCTCCCAGCTATGTATCAAAGACCTCTATCTAATGCCACCTCTAACACTTGTGAGACCTCTCGGTATACTTTACTGATATTTTTCATCACTTGAAGCAGCTCAGAGGTGCCTGAATCACCGGGACTAAAACAAAAAGTGAGGAACACATGTTCAGGAGCAGCTGAAAATTAGTACAAACACAGCTTTTTGAGATGGCAGACTGACTGCATAGCCTGTTGAGCCAGCATCTGCCTGCTTAGGTAAAACTACAGCATCATTAGCTGGCTTCACCTATCTTCAATTCTTCTACCCATTTGGCCTGCTACCTACACAGCAAAAATTACTTTTCACACTTACTTGCAAAAGAAATAATCACACCCATCCGTCATGACTTAAGAGCTCTCCAGACATTTGCAGGCTACTACACACTAGCTTTCATGTGGGGGATCAGAATGTTCTACCTATCCAAAAATCCCAACTCTAATCCTTCCGTGCAGGAAAACCCCAATACACCAAGAATCTCTCTACAAGACAAAGCACTACAGTGGGTAGACAGAGAAAGAGTTAACACTTTCAAATTCAGACATTTTACCTTTCAGTGCAGGCACATAGTCTTCTGTATCCTTTAAGATTTGCTGATAGGTTGCTATAGCATTTTCATATTTGCCTAGAATCTGCTCAACCGCTGCAGCTTTGTAAATGCTGTACACAAGCCCTGGGTTCAGCTCACTTGCTTTCCTGAAGGATTTTAGAGCTGTTGAATAGCTACCTCTGTTCAAATAAGCCTCCCCTAGAGACTCCCAGCAGTTAGAATCCTTCGGATCAGCCCTGACAGCTGCCTGCAAACTGAAGATACCAAGATATTAATTTACTTAAATAAATGGTAATACAAGTTAACATAAACAAATTATTATATACTCTCAGGACACAAACACACCATTATACAGCACTTTCAAACACAGCACAGTAGTGTTTTCATGTTCAGAGCACATTATATAAATTTAGATACTGTACCTACTCTTGACTCATTATTCAGTGCTACACCATGCTTGTCTATGCCGGTCACTAGGCTTGTTAGTAAAGAACACTGCTATGGCGAAAAGACTACATTGTGCCAATTCTGAAACTGAAGATAGACACAGTGTGCTTAGACCCATTTCCCATATTTTAGTACAACCCATCCTATAGTCAGCTAACTTACTTTCAAATTTTGTTAGATCAAAGCCTGTTTTACTGGGGTTTATAGAAATGATTTAAACCAACCACCCCTTTTCTTACTCAGCCACTGCTTGTGACGGCTGATCAGTTCTCAGGTAGTAAAGTCCACGATGAAGCCAGGCCCATTTTGCTGTACCAGGACTTGCTCTTTCAGTTACCTCATTCAGGATTGACAGAGCAGTGTCCTAAGAAAGCACCAAAAAATGTCAGGTTAGTAAACACACACAGGAGTAAAAACCAAAGTTCTTCTTAAAGAAGAACACTCTTAATCCAGCAAACCATTAAGCTGTCCAACCTGTTGACTGCTGTAATGAAGAACTGTTACAGGAGCTTTTTTAAGCTGGCAGGCTGAGTGGCAGATTACAGGAGGTAACTGTCACATCTAAAGATGTGATTATTTCGTATGTACTTGTCTTTGCAAATAGACAGAAGCTTCCTGCAGTTTTGTACAGACTATTCTTTTAATTTATATATAAATTAGAGAAGGATAAAGTATTTGCAGCAAGTCAGATGCTTAGATACTTTCCAGACGTTCGAATGACATCCACAAAATACAGGTTGCTTTCTTGCTCTATAACATCACAGGCTAAGAATTTTTTCCATAACACTATATAAGAAAATATTTTGCAATTGTTCCAATGTCTTTATATGCTTTTCCTGAAAGCAGCAAAGTGGAAGATGAAGAGAACAAGTGGTACGAGTTGAACAGGAAAAGAAAGCTCAAAAAAAGAAAGCTCAAAAAAACAAAGCTTCATATTCCCTACTGAAAAAAATCCTTCATCTAAATCACATATGTGACAACTACCATGTGATGTTTGATCCCCTTACCCTTATCCCCAGACAGATTTAATTTGGAACTGAAGCATAACAAGTAAGCAGCTCCAACTATGAAAGCTGCTAAGCAATCACAGAACATCTCAAATTATTCTCAAATACAAAGGAAATGTGAAGTAATTCCTCAAACAGCAGGATTAACAGAAGAACGAAACAGCAGTAATCCAGGGCCCTGAAAGTACAATACCATGTCTCCAAGTTCCACACTTAAGTCTACAGCTCCTGTTCCAGATTCCTCATCGGTTCCATCCAGTTCAAAAGCCTTTTTATAGCAACCACGAGCTCTACTTTTGTCTCCAGCAATGTCTCTGTAGTAGTTACCTAAATAACGAAAGACACTTCCCAAGTAGCTGTCCAGTTTTGCAGCCTGTAAGGAAGTATGAACACAGTGTAAAACAGCATTTTAAAAGATTATGCTAATGGACAGGTCCAGCTGTAACTACTTGTTCAATCTGGTTATCAATTTATTTAAGCTTCTTCTGTGATATGTCTGTGTAATCAAACTCTAAGATTTCAGAGATTACCTGAGCTTTAAATATTCACAGAATCTGCTACAAACCTCATGATACAAAGCATTTTGTACATGAACTACTAATAAATTAGTTGTGCTAGAAGCTAGTTAGTCCTTCCCGTCATTTCATATTCTGCTCCATTTCAACCATTATGTTCATACTCTTGCCATATTATATGACAATTGTCTCCAGATTTTTCTGAAGTTTAAGTTCCTTTTTAAATACTCGGCAGATTTATTTATACTTAAGAAAATCAGAGCCCCTGAGCAGCTGAAAACAGCTTGGACAATAACAATAATCAAAAAAACCATCACAGAAAATAGTCTAGTACCAAAAGTATTGCTCAATTCAACTACATTCTCCAGTATACCCTACTGTTAATGAAGTGCAAACAGTAGGCAATGATTTGAGTTGCCAATACCTATCACAATTTTAAATGGTGAGTTTTATACACACACATGCACACATCTAGAGTCTTACTCTGCATACTTCTGTGTTCCAAATAAAGATGTCAGACTAAATCTTTTGGATTCACATTCTTAACTATGTTCAGAGAAAAAGCCACAGGGACCAAAACCCCAAAGACAGGTAAAGTTTATAAACTATGTTCTGCAGAATTACTTCTATGGACAGACACTGAAACTCTAACACTATTCTCATCATTTTTCCTGCCTCACTTTTTTCCAGTCTGAATTTACCTTCAAAGATCTACACTGGTTATCTAGAGGTCTCCACTTCCCTCAAGAAAAGAAGACTCAGAGAATAACCACTACTTCCGGCTAAATCAAAGGCCTTGAGAATTAGGTGAATAGAGAAAAACAAAACCAGGGAGATTACAGCAACCTCGAACTCGGTCTATAGGCTCTGGAGGCTTGTAAATTGTAACAAGCAGAATCATAGAATCACAGAAAGGTTTGGGTTGGAAGGGACTTTAAAGATCGAATTCCAAATCCCCCGCCATGGGCAGGGACAAAAATATTCAAGTCTGTCACTCTAATCAGTGTATTTTCCATATTTGATTTCTCATACAGGAAAATACTAATCCTACATGAATAGTTAAAGTAGCCTTTACCTTCAAGAACTGACTGAGTGCTTTTCCTTTGTCTTTTCTTGTCTCATCACTCATGAACCAGTACGTGAGCCCCAGGTACTGATGATACTCTGCAGTTTCAGCCTTTCTTTCAATAGCATTTAGAAAACTAAACAAAAGGAACAGAAGTCAGATCAGACAAGTTCTCAAAAGTGCACAACAGTATTTTCTGTCCTCCCCTGACATTTCCCTATTAGAGGAAAGAAAAAAATAAATTTACCTTCTTTCTGCTTGTTCATAGTTCTTTTGGGAATAACAGATGAAACCCTCTAGAGCATGTGACTCAGCCACGTCAGGGTGGGACAACAGAAGCTCTTGTGAAATCTGCAAAAGAATGTCATTCTTCCCTATTATTTCTTCTAGGAAAGCAAGAATTCCATTTAGCTTACAGGAATGACAACAGAGCACTAACCTTTGAAGCTTGATCCATTAAACCTTTCTTTAGATAAGCCTGACCTCTGATAGCTAAAACCACTGGATCGCTGCTTGCATCCACAATCTAGAAAACCAAGTAACAGACACAACAAAGTTATTCTCTCCATAGATTAAGAAATCAAAGGTGTTAAACGCAAGCAGACTGCATGAAGATAAAGACAAAAAAAAAAATCAGATAGAATACCCTTGACAAGCCTTACAATAATTTTTATGAAGACCAGGGAGAAGACTGTAGAGAGCAAGGACAAAGGTACCTAATTCTGAACAGCGACACAAAAAAGAGGGGAAGCAAAGTCTGCTGAAAGCTTAGCCATTTGACCTTAAAGTAATATGTTCTTGTTCATGAGTAAGGACAAGTGAATGATGTTGGAAGTAGGATTATAAAAATAATTCAGATTATGGTGAGCAACAGCCACACAACTAGCAAGAACCCAGCAGCACTGAGCAAGACCAGACAAGGTCAAAAGTGACAGCTTCTAGAATTAGAATAGTGAGTGAAAAGGAGATGTGGAGAAGCCTAAAACAACAGAGAAGGAAGGAGTGTTTGGATTCCACCATAATTGCTAGGAGTTGTCTAAACTACACAGAATGTAAAAAGGAGGCAAGGGGAGAAATACACAGCCTGAGTTTTTAGCACAGAAAGATAAGATCACTTAAAAAAAATATACATATATACATTTTAATCAATTAAAATACCTGCTCAATTGCTTTAATGGCTTCTTCTGCAGCATTGGCATCAGCTATTTTAATCAAAGCCTCTGCTTTCAACTGGAGTGTAAGGTTCTTCCACTGAAGACTAGGGCCCTCAGAAGTTCCAAGAGCCTTGAGAGCTGTAGGCAAGAGAAAAGTTTCATCAAGTAAAAACAGAAAAAGGAACTATGAAGACCACCACTGTTCTCAGGATCTTTTACATCTTGTTAATGACAGTATTTCAGTCTAATAGAGCACCACCAAATAGAACCATTTTTTTACTGCTCTCCCCCATGATGAAGAAATTATTCTGCAGAATTTCCACCCATTCAACTTTAGACGTTAAATCAATTTTAGAAAGATCCTGTAGGAAACTTGGGGAGACTGTCTGCTTTCTAGCTGCTGGCCCTGTAATCGGACTGCTACTTTTTTCTGATTTACATTCTGAAGAAACAATCACCTTTCAATAAACAAGTTGTTTTTCACTTCAGTGTCTATGGAAATATTATTACTGAAACAAGGGATTTAACCTTTGTGCAAAGGTAATTTTGTACCTTTCTACACAGTACTGACTACTTCCTGAATACACAGGCGGCATCCCCAGCAGCATGAGCATTTCCCCCTGCAGTCCTGCCTCCAGCTCTGGGGCAACAACAGGAGGAATGTGGAGCTGTTGGAGCAAGTCCAGAGGAGGCCACAGAGATGCTGCGAGGGCTGGAGCAGCTCTGCTCTGGAGACAGGCTGAGAGAGCTGGGCTGGTTCAGCCTTCAGAAAAGAAGGCTCCTTAAGGGGAGACCTTAGAACAGCTCCAGTGCCTAAAGAGGCTACAGAAAAGCTGGAGAGGGGCTTTGGACAAGGGCCTGTAGAGACAGGATAATGGGGAATGGCTTTAACCTGACAAGAGGGGAGATTGAGATCTTTGGCAGAAGTTCTTCCCTGTGAGGGTGATTAGGCCCTGGCACAGGTTGCCCAGAGACACTGTGGCTGCCCCATCCCTGGCAGTGTTCAAGGCCAGGTTGGATGGGGCTTGGAGCAATTAGTTCCTTAATGCTAATTTTTCTTGTCTTGTTTTATAGCAACTTCTATTAATTCTATAATCACATACAAGTTGTTTGATGAATCCTCTGAAAGGAAGTACCACGGTGTGGAAGTCACCCTGAGCTCTTCCACACTGAACACAGATGGGAAAAAAATAACCTCATTTTCATTTATTCTGCAATAAATTTCTTTTTGCCTATTTTGTTCTGTTTTCACATTTCCTCTGCCCAAATTTATAGGCCTTCTGAATCTCCCTTGCTGGCAAGTACTTTTCCTTGCTTTTAATCATTTCCCTCTGCCTGTTTAGTCAGGTCCACATACTTTTACCCCTTCAAGTCTTTCTTGAGATGTTTTTAATTGGATTTCTCTGTCAGAAAAAAAAAGTCCACTTTAACTGCCCTTTATTTATAATCATCAAATTCTATTCAGACACGATACGCACCACTAGATCATAGTAACTGCCCTCATTCCCAGCTAGCACAGATGAAGATTTACATTCCAGGAGGTTTCTTAAGGTGCAGTTCTGCAACACTTCTGAATTTCACATTAACTTGATTAAAATTTTGTATTTCAGGTCTAAATATGAAGTCTACCAGCCTAAAATTTTGTGACACCTAGCCTTGTGGTTTCATAGAATCACTCACAGAACTACAGAATGGTTTGCATTAGAAGGGACCTTAAAGCTCATCTAGTTCTAAGACTCTGCCACAGGCAGGGACACCTTCCACTAGACCAGGTTGCTCCAAGCCCTGTCCAACTTGGCCTTACACACTTCCAGGGATGGGGCAGCCACAGCATCTCTTGGCATCCTGTGCCAGTGCCTCAGTTCTCAGTGTTTCAGGCAATTATCTGCAGTTCGGTGGAGTTGGTCAACCACCAGCTGAAGCAGCACATCAGAACATACAAACCTTCTAAATATTAACCATCAGACAGCTCTCTGGTTCTGATTAGCCAAGTGTTTTTTCCTGAGACTAAGCCGCACAAGGAGCTTTTCAGCTGTCATAAACCAAGGGGACACCAGCACAAGCCATGAGACTGCACAAAGCAGAGAACTATGCTGCCAACTCAAACCTACCATGCAAAGGCCACATTGGCTGCACTGTATAAAGTGGTGTACCCCTGAAGTTGTTCATTCAATTAGTGGACAGTTACCTTGATTGCAGGACAGGACAGCATCTCTGTGTTTGTGAAGTTTCATCTGTGCGTCTGCCAAAAAATGCCATGCCGCTGGACACTGGCATGTCTTCTGCAAACCTAATAAGAGAAGTTTTAAAAAGGCACTAGAAAAAACTGTTTAGTTGCAAAAACACTGAAGATGCTCTATTACCATATAATGCCATCAAAAACATTATCAATGAGATAAGAATACTTGCAGTTAATTTTTCCTTTGAGACTAAGTTTAAACTGCGTTAAACATACAGGCCTCCATGCAGTAACGCAATGACTAAGAGGCACATAAGCTTCTGTTAGACTTCGTTTTGCATATAACCTTACCTATATAGAAAAGAAAAGGAAAAAGCGAGGAAACATACAACACTGGCTTAAGGCGACTTCGTTTCAAAAATAAAAAAAGTCCCTCATCTTGATTAGACATTAACATCAGCAGCCTGTATATATTATATGGGTTTTACCAGAAACCAGAAAAGGCATACAGGACTTCAAGACAGCAAAAAAATGTTGACAAGAGTATTTGACTGAAACTTCCTGATAAACCTGCCTTAATGGAAGATTGAGTCTTCTGAGACAGGTTATATTACCACTAAGTAATGCCTTGAAGCTTCAATGCTTAAAATGCAAATAGTTGGCTTGCTGGGTATGACATTGTTTCCAAATTTTATACATTTCAATATTATACCAAGAGCATTCTCCTTGTTCTCCAAGAGCATTATAGCCTTTGCATTCTCCTCTTCATAAGCAGAGTAATACGTGTAAAAGTAAAAATAAAAAAATAAAATTATTTGGGAGATGAATCTTTTGCCAAAACCAGGATGTGTATTTTTGTCAAAACATTCAAAGGCAATTTAAGCCAGGAGAATTTGCTTTCCATGGAAGACTTTTTCCTCTTGAGCACCTTAAATTTTTATCTGAGATTTTAGGTAAGACATGTTTTTTCACTGTGGGCAAGTTACCGTAGAACACCATAGAATATTCTAAAATTGAATTTCAGAAACTATCTTATTCTAAACCTAGGAGAAAGGACGGAGGATACCACAGCATAGCCTGACTGACTCATAACTGCTTAAGTCCTAAATGTTTATTTACTCAGCTTTCTCAATAAGCTGCTTTGAATACTCCATGGCCATCACAGTGAGAATGGAGACTCCTTCTTAAAATGATGTAACTTTAAAGAGAAGCCATCTTTGTTCAGATACAGAAATGCAGTAACTAGGTTAAAGAAACTGCATTATATTTTACTTCAGAAATTCCACATTCCCTCATTAATTGTTATTGCTGTATTTTCTGCTTCATCTAGGCATTTCCCCAATAACAGTCAGATTAAAAGCAAAGTTTAAAGTTGAACACATGAAAGTACTACAAAGCTGACTACGACAGCAGTGAGAGACTTCAGAGATGTTAGACTTAAAGCTGTATTTTAAAATTATTCAGTGCTCAAAGAAAGCAATGAGTATTCTTTAACAATCCACCTGATCTACGCAAGTATAAGATACCCAATATATCCAGCGTAAAACTAGCTGGTGTTATAGAGTCATACAGTTATATAAGTTACAGAGTACTTATACTGCTTTATTACACATTTACCTTCAGTAAGACTCTTAACAGCCTCCTTGTATTGCTTTTCTTGGAGGCTTTTTACACCAAAACCGATGATGCCTGGACCACTACTTGGGTCCATCTCCAAAAGCCTAGTAAAACAGCACAGGGCCTCTTCTGACAAAGTACCTGGTTTCACAAAAAGAATTATTTCAGAATAGTTCTAGAATATTTAAAAATAAAAAAAAAAGCCACAGCATACCTTATCTACATCAATAACACCCTCATCCTTTGAGCTTAAATAATGAATTTGTTAAATGAACTTTTTCCAAAGGTACTACATACTTATCACCCTCCACTCCCATAACAAAACCCAAAAATATGCAGTAATTTAAACAAGCAGTAGCATCAAGTAAAATACACTTTGAGTCTGAAACCTGAATTTCTAAGCACTCGTGTTAAATTACTACAGGTATACTTCCTTTATTAATAAAAACAAATTCCTTCATAATCTTTTCACATAAACCCAGCTAAACGCCCATGTCAAAACTGGCCACAAACAAATTAGAATAATTTCCTTTCAGAGTAGGCCTTGCGTACCTACAAATTCACTGTGATAAGCTTGCTGAAACAGTCTTGCTGTGACACTACATCATTTAATGCATTTGCTTAATTTTAAATGATGCTACTAACTTCTTATGCTTGTGTTTAGTTGTGATTGTACACTTGGCAGTCCTTGCTTAAAGCAACCGCTGTGACTTGCAGCAGCAGTCTTTGAACTATTTTCTTTTTAAAAGTATGGATTCATCTGCCTTTGATTCGTATTTGGTAAAGGTAAATAATGCACCTGAGTTACAAGCCCACAAGTTTGGGACATGGAGAACTATGACATGGTTGGAATGACACAAACAGCTTTACTAAAACCTAAGCATTATCCTCCCCACCCCAAGATGGCTGTGGGATAGTGAGATTTTGTCAGAGCATTGGTATGTAAGAACCGTGCCAACCAGATCCTTCATTTTCTGGAAATCAGTTTCTGCGTGCTTCTCCAAGCTGTAAAGCATTCTTACATGGAAATGAGGGGCCAGGCCTCGTTTGTCTTCATCCTTTCCAATCAGGGTGAAAAATTCTCTCTTGTTTTACGTTGCTATGTTATTCCATGAAGCCTACCTTCAAAACTGGAAAAGGCATTCTTCTACCTAAGGTGAAAGCCATACTTTTCTTTACATAAATCAGAGGGGTTCTGCCCCCCATTTTCTTTCCTTGTTTTAAAAAGAATTAAAATCAAATTCTGATGCCTTAAACAATGAAATGAAAGACAAAAATTCAGCAGTTATCTTTGAAAATGCTGAGAAACTGCCCAATACTATCACACTGTTGTTTAGTGACCTATTGAAAATAACGATTGTAATACTTTCACATCCCTGCACTACTGAACATGTTGTGTTTTCTTTTCTCAGAGATTCTCCTTTTCTATGTAAAACAAAATACCTAAACATGTCTGTTTATTCCCTCTTCACCAGGCATACTTTTGAAGGAAGTTTCACACAGGTTTGATTTTTTTTTGCCAAGAGAGATTTTCTGTGTCAAGAATAACCTAAGCATAGCCCATCCTCAGCCTCAGAGCACTGGTTAACATTTTCCATTGCCTCTTCTGAGCTTAAGAAGCTAACCATTTATCCAGAGAGATTGCTTTCAAGTTTTGTAAGGCATTCTTTCTCTGCGACTATATATTGCCAGAGTTGGACTTAACTTACAGACGTTTTTTGCCCATTTAGTAACCACTTAGTTACAGAGCTAGAAAATACCAAATCGCAGAAACAAACACCTTTCACTTACTAGACAGGCAGAAATATAACATAAAAGTAGGGTAAAAACTCATAAAAAGATTGTCACAAAACTATAAAATAATTTAAGCCTCAAAAATGTATAAATCCATTCTACTCACCTGAATGAACAAAATGTAAGCAAAGTACTTCTAAAGGATAACTCACAGAAGGATACAAAGCCATCATATCATTACAGGCTTTTTCCAACCTAGCTGCTTCATGAGGAAACTTGAAAAAGAACAAAATTAATAGTTACTTCTGTGAATTACCAGAAGTAGAGTATTATATCTGCTCATTGATGAAGACAGACAACCTTACTTTTGACAAGCACTGAATGAAGTCCTTGTAAAGGTTTTGGTGGTCTTCACCAGGAATGGTCTCAAAAGAGTTCAGAGCATGTTCAAATGCAGTCAAAAGCTGAAATAAGAAATAACTATGAGTGCAACAAACAATGAGTCATAGACCAGAATATTTCAGCTGGAATGGTCCTGCAACAATCATACAATTCACCTAGATGGACTACTACCCACTTCGGAGCTGACCAAAATTTAACATGTTATTAAACGCATTGTCCAAATGCCTCTCAAACACTGACAGGCTTGGGCATCAACTGCCTCTCTAGGAAGCCTGTTCCAGGGTCTGAACACCTTCATGGTAAAAAAAAATGTTCTCATGTCCAGTCTCAACCTCCCCTGGCTCAGCTTTGAACCATTCTCACATGTCCTGTCCCCGGATCTCAAGGAGAAGAGATCAGCACCTCCCTCTCCACAGCCCCTGCTCAAGAAGCTGCAGAGAGCAACAAGGTCACGCTTCAGACTCATTTTGTCCAAAGGAGACAAACCCAGAGTCCTAAGCCACTCCTCAAAGGACAGGCCTTCCAGCCCTCCCATAGTTAGGTGGACAGTTACATATTATTATCTGTATCTTTCCTTATGTTTACATTAGTATTGTAAACAGAGAAAGCTGAGAGACAGTCACAAGTTTTTATCGTGAAGTAGTACTCAAATATGATCCAAAGCACATCGTCTAGTACAAGACGAAGCAGTAATATACTGTTTCATAATGTAAAATGGGTACACGGAAGGCAAAATTTGCAAGAACATAGATTCTTCTTCATTCCTAATCCCAAATGAAAAAAAAAAAAAAAAAAAAAAGTCACAGAACGGTTTGGGTTTGAAGGGACCTTAAAGCTCATCTAGTTTCAACCTGCTTGCCACTGGCAAGGACACCTTCCACTAGGAAAAGGACTTTGGTACCACAAAATGTGGGTTACTACCCTCTATGGTTAGCTGTCATCCCTTCCCCATGCTCTGGTTTAGAAATGTAGTCTTTTATTTTTTGACTCCTATGTATTGAAGAACACAGGCACTGCAGAGTGCCAGCTCCCAAACAAGCATGCTAAACAGAAAGTTTACCACAGCTTGTCATGAGTGAAATGCTTAATAGGATGTTGCCTTCAATGCCACACCCTTTCGGATTCTGGTGCTTTACTCAAAACTACAGTAAAGTGAAATGCAGATTTGCACGTGAATGCCAATCCTCATATTTATGCAACTTTTTCTCGATTTCTCGTCCCCAGAAAGAAAGCAGTGCTGCCTGCACTGCTCATATCACAGCTATGTAAGTCAAATAGGTATATAACAGCTTGTTAAGTCTAAGTATTTTCCTTCTTAAGAAGCAGAGATCCAGATCCAATTCTCTAGTGTCTGAAATTATTTCAATTTAATTCTTCTACCTTTCTGGAGCACTGCTATCAACCAGATTGGCAATGAGTATTCTACCTTATCTGTTGAAGGAGGTTCATCTTGCAAGAAAAGTTAATCACATAAAACTAAATTAACTTTGGCCATAGAGAACACACAATCAGTATAAGTCATGATGATCATTTTGTCTGCTCCAATCTGCTTTGGCATTCTCCTAAGAGCTGTCTGTTTCCGAAGGACTGCATCCTGGAGGGAACTCTCGCTGGAACAGTTTGTGAAGAGCTGCAGCCTGTGGGAAGGACCCACACTGGAGAAGTTGGTGGAGGGCTGTCTCCTGTGGGAGGGACCCCATGGTGGAGCAGGGGAAGAGTGTGAGGAGTCCCTCCCTGAGAAGGAAGGAATGGCAGACTGTGAGTGATGAACTGACTCTAGTCCCCATTCCCAATCCCCCCTGTGCCACTGGCAGGGAGGAGTTAGGGAATTCGTGAATTAAGCTGAGGCATTGAAGTTGAAATAAGGGGTAGGAAGAAGGTGTGAAGGTTTTTTAAGTTTTGGGTTTATTTCTCATTTTCCTACTCTGATTTTGATTGGTAATAAACTAATTTCCCCAAAATGAGACTGTTTTGCCCATGAAGGTAATTGGTGAGTGATCTCTCCCTGCCTTTAGATCTACCCCCAAGCCTTTCATTATATTTTCTTTCCCCTCTCCAGCTGAGGAGTGACAGAATGGCTGGGTGGACTCCTGCAGAACGTACAAGGCAGTTAATGAAGGATTTCCAGGACAACTTCTTGGATTTAGGTGCCTTATTCCACCTAAGGCCTACCTCAGGCTGCTGCATCCTCACTGTTTCTGTCAGAAGGTAAAATCATCCCTTTTCCCAAGAAATTTAGTAGCACTGAACATCAATGAAACAGTCACAAGATTTGCACCATTTTCAAGTCTTCACACTTAAGATGCAGTTTGAAGTCTAGCTGCACTATACATATGTATGTATCAAGATGAGTGGGAACAATAAACATTACCAACTGCTCAGTCTTCTTATCCTGGTACTGTGTACTGTCTTTCAGTAACTGGATCATCTTTTTCCAAAGCTGATGGAGCTCTGCATTTTCTGCACCTTCCTTCTGCTTCATTTCTATTAGTTTCTGCCATGTTTCAGCCACCTGTCAACAAATGAACCATGCTGTCACTCTTCAAAGAACTGGGGGCCTGATACAAGCTTTCTACTTTCTGTCAACAATTCCACCCTAGAGTAAGCAACTGAGTAACACCAAAAGTAAGGACTCAGATTTACCTGCTTTCTGATTAAAACAAGTACTCACTGCAATATGTGGTACCTGTCCACATTCCAAGGTACAGTAAATAAGAGAGGCAACATCAAGAGTATGAATTCTGACTCTGGTTCCTGGAGGAAATCAGCAGTAAAAATATACCTAAACAGTCCTCTGATAAACTGAAGACAAAAAGAAAGCTTAGTTGGATCTACTGCAGCAGTCTATGTTGAAGTTCCACTGTGGAAAAAATAACAGAACTGACAAAGATGCAATAGGACCCTGACGCCTAATTTGCAGTTCCCTGTTGAACAAAAAGCAAGTCTGCCTTCACATGCTGAACTACTAGCATTAAGTTTAGTTTCAGAAACTAGTATATGAAGAGGTTTTGGAGCCAATTAATAGTCTTGAGCCTGATGCTAAGTGGTATGTGAAAGTTTTCATCTTCCGCTGCTGGAGAAAAGGGGAGGAGATAACAGGGAGTAAAACCATGCACGACCTTGTAAGAAACCAACCTTTTTAATGAGTAAGGAAACAGTGAACAGCAAAAATATGTATCCTGAAACTTATCCTGATTACTTGTCCTGAGTTCAGCTGTAACAGTTATTTTTCTCCTTAGCAGCTGGTCCAGTGCTGTGTTTTTGACTTTAGTCTGAGAACAATGCTGATAACACACCTATAGTTCAGTTGTTGCTAAGAAATGCTTACCCCTACCAAGGACTTCTCAGTCTCTCATGTTCTGCCAGGGAGGAGGGGCATAATAAGCCAAGATGAAGCAGAGACAGGACACCTGACCCAAACTAGCCAGAGGGGTATTTCATACCACAGCACGTCATGCCCAGTATAAAAACTGGGGGGAGTCACCCAGAAGGCCCAGACTGCTGCTCAGGTTGGGCTGGGTATCAGTCAGCGGGTTGTGAGCAATTGCATTGTGCATCACTTGTGTTCATTGTTTTGTTTCTTTTCGTTTTCCCCTTTTAGTTTCTCTCCTCTTGTTATTTCCCTTATCATCATTATTATTATCGGTGGTAGTAGTAGCAGTTTTTACTATACTTTAGTTACTGGACTGTTCTTATCTCAGCCCATGGGGTTTACATTCTTTCAGTTCTCCTCCCCATCCCTCTGGCAGCCAGGGGGAAGGAGATGAGTGAGTGAGCAGCTGTGTGGTTCTGAGTTACTGGCTGGGCTTAAACCACGATGTAACTTATGAGGTTATGGGCAATGCTACTGTTGAACTGTTCAGACATATAACAGCTCCATCTCGCAGTAAACTGCAAGACTATTTCTGCAATGGTCATGCTGACATGGATTTCTAGAGAGCTGGGTGGGCTGCCCTGAAGTAGCTTTGCATGTCCTTGTTGCCGTACATGGACTGCAGTACATAAAGCACAGGTAATCAAGTTCAGGTTGTGTACAAATTCCACTTTACCCTCTGTCACGAAGTATCAGGGATAACTGAGGAAGGGATCACCACACCAGTGAAAGGCTAATTAGATAACCTAGAACTGGCCAAGCTAGGCAAAGGACACCCAACTTACACTTATACAACTTATACATGTAAAAGCGTATTGGGGATAACGCCCGACTTGTAGAAATAAAACAGAAGAATGATGTTCCACCATTTCAGCCTGTATACTATGCATTCTTTGTCAAATTTTGTCAGCTTAATGGATTGCATTTGTGTCTTGCGCAGTGAAAAAGAAATGAATATAGTTAAAATCAGCTTCCTGGTTGTGGACCACAAGGAAATCTTAAATGGTCTTTGACTGCAAAAAATTGGGGATTCCTTGATGAAAACTAATTAGTTCTGATTAAATGTAAATTTCTTGTTAGAAGAGATACTCAACCTACCTCTATGTATTTCTTTTCTTGATGATACAGCTCCACAAGCTTGTTACATACATCACACCATTTCTGCTTGTCACCACTAGAATGGAAGAAAATTCCACGCAAACAAGTTAAGTTGTCCAGCTGAGAGTTACATTTGTTTAGAACCGTACCTATATTAACCAGATGACATATATTCTGTGATCTTAAAGCAGAGAAAAAAGAGCCTACTTATTCATGCAGACAATGAACTATGAAAGCTGAATGCTTCCAGGCAGAAAGTTTTGACAGAGGACATAGGATAACACAGAATTTTCTCAACTGGTGACTTTAAGCACAATTTTTCCAAGAGTTTTTGCCCTATCAAAAGGGACAAGATCAAAAAACCTTATACAGGTACAGACAACTTTAGCAAAAAGTGCTGAACCCACTGATGTTACAAGGCTTTAAAAATGAAACAACCCTACCCTGTGTATTGGCAACAGTATTCACTGGAGATCTTTGACTGAATTAATGGTATTCAATATCCTTTACCTTGCATAGAGTTCCAAGAGCTTTTGGTAAACATCTGCTAAGTCTCCTTTGACATCTGTTTGGTTGTATTTCTCATACAAATTCGCTAATCCCTTTAGAAAAAATTGAAAAATAAGTAAGATTTTATATCAACAGTTGTATTACAAGAACACTGCATGAGCTCTGCCTGCAAAAGTTACTCAATGCCTTCAATGGGGTCAAATATTAATGTAGTAATCTCTGAGCAGAATCTAGGCTGATACCTCTTTAAAGCCTTCTGCATCTACTTATTTTAAACAAAGTTTTTCTCGCTTTCTTAACTAATACCAACAACTACTTGAAACTTGTATATACTACACAATGTTTTCTGTATAACAGACAGTATACAAAGAACATGGTCGTGTGGTAAGATAAATGTCCAAGTGTCATACTACCTCGTATAGCAACAGAAAGCAGGAATCTGATTGCAAAAGTAAGGAAATTTCAATATGCCTTGAAATCGTGCACCAACACAATTAAAAAGGTATTTATATTAAAAACACTAAGAATCTTACTATCTTCAAAAAGTATCAATTGTTGGTATCAGAGACAGACTTAATATAAAATTCTATGCCTTGCAAGTCTCCAAACAACATACCTGTACAATGTAACTATACCCTGTTACTGGTTGTCATTCACACACCACCCAGCACACAGCTATTTTAAATGTATACTATTGTTTTTTAAACAGCAACGAAATTCGTTAACAATCCACTCAATGACAGAAGACGCAAAAATATGTTAATAGATAAAACATTTTCTTTCCTATGAGAGCACTGTTAAATCTTCCTTGAGCTAGAAGCATGGAAATTCCAAAGCATGGACGAATTTACTGTACTGTTTCAATTCGTGTTCACCCTTTCATGCTTCACTGTTAACTAGTGTACACAAGAAATACAAACTTAAATATACTGAAATTAAAAGTTCATCCTGACATACAGACTATGCAGTTACCCATGACTTCACTTTGAACACAGAAATATGACAAACCTCAGCTACTCCAAAGCTTCAGGAAAACTCAAAAAGACACAATACAAGTCTCAACTCTGCTTTGTTATGGTATTTAACTCCATGGTGAGTTTTCAGGTAAAGAAGAAATTAGTTTGGACAGTCAGTACCTGCCATGCCAGTAACTGGTTTGGTTCAAGTTCAATAGCCTTCTTATATGCTCCTTCAGCCTGATTGGGCTGTTCTAACTCAGCAGCTGCCACGCCAATAAATACCCAAGCATTGTAGTTATTTTTTTCTTGCTTCAAGACTGCCTAGAAATACACAATTTTAAGTGAAACTGATGAATGAAATGCGTCTTATAGATCCATGTATTGAGTTTTATCATTACAGTTTGGTGAATTATTCCACATGTTAATATTAGAAGTTAACTGATTTTTAGGAAAAGGCTAGGGTTAGTAACTTCAGCTTTTCATGCCAGACAATGTTTCATATCTAAAGTGTTTTGCTAGGAACCACATCTGCAGGTCAGCAATTAAAGCACTCCTGTCGAGGCATAATTTAGAAAAGTTTTTATCTCTATCATTCTAGACTTAATGTTCTTATTGTCACATATAAGCAAATGCAAAAGCAAGGGGAATAAAAGCTTACATGTGGACAACTAACATGAATGATCAATGAAGTTAAATTTGAAAATCAATCTCAACTATTATATCAATAAGGTACTCCATACTCTGCATTACTGGACAGCTACAGGGGTATGAGAACAGCAAGACAAATGCGCAAAAAACATTATCTTCCAAGTAAAAGTTAGTTACCTTGCAATGTTTCAAGGCTTCTTTATATTCTTTATTTCTTATTGCTTCTCTAGCACTCTTTAAGGCTGCCTTCACCTCCTTATTTGACATTGTGGCTGTTAAGTAAAACAGACACATAATCATTTCTTAAGATGGTGGTTACGTCCCACTATAATTGCATAGAGGGCATTCAGAACACAGGAATATGCTGCAGTGTGCCAAAATGCATTCAGCACTAAAAACTGCTGAAACAGATAATATGGCTAAAATTCATAGAATGGTTTGGGTTAGAAGGGCCTTAAAGATCACCTAGTTTCAATCTCGCTTCCATAGGCAGGGACACCTTCCACTAGACCAGGTTGCTCCAAGCCCTGTCAAAGCTGGCCTTGAACACTGCCAGGGATGGGGCATTAGTTACTTATAAATAGTTATTTACGCTCAGCTCCAGCACAGGAATAAGTCAGTAAGGGGTTCCTAAGGATCAGGGTTTTCCTTGGGCATTACGTACAGGAGCACCGTGGCCAGGCTGTCACTTACCTTTAGGTGTGGTCCACAACGCTCCTCTCCCCTCACACACTTATGGCAGACCCTGCTTCCCACGTCTGTAAAAGTGAAAAAGAATAAAAGCATTTAGGATACAACAAAGAGGCACTCATGCTTTGGAAGTCTGACACGATCATGTATTACTTTGATGTATACAGTTAAATACGTTGCCTCAAATGAACTTTGGAAACACCAACATCCTGCATGACATCCTTGTCGCTACACTGGAAAGTCATAAATTTGATGGATGGACCACCTGCTGGATAAGGAATTGGCTGAATGGCTGCATGTGGAGAGTTGAGGTCAACAGCGCAATGTCCAACTGGAAATGTGTAACGACTGGTGTCCCTCAGGGGCAGGTGTTGGGAACAATCCTGTTCAACATCTTTGCTGGTGACATGGACAGTGGGATTGAGTGCACTCTCAGCCAGTTTGCCAGTAACGCCAAGCTGAGTGGTTCAGTTGACAGGATGGAGGGAAGGGATGGGATCCAGAGGGACCTGGACACACTTGAGAGATGGCCAATGCCAGCCTCATGAAGTTCAACAATCCCAAGTGCAAGCTCCTGCCCTCAGGTTGGGGCAGTCCCAGACACAGCTACAGGTTGAGTGGAGCCATGATTCAGAGCAGCCCTGCAGAGAAGGACTTGGGGGTGTTGGGTGAGAAGCTCCCCATGACCCAGATTCAGTGTGCGCTTGAGCCCAGAAAGCCACCATGTGCTGGGCTGCATCAAAAGGAGCATGAGCAGCAGGTCAAGGGAGGTGATCCTGCCCCTCTACTCTGCTCTCGTGAGACCTCACTTGGAGTATTATGTACAGTTCTGGTGTTCTCAACATAAAAAGAACATGGAGTTGCTGGAGCAAACCCAGAGGAGGCCAAGAGGATGATCAGGGGCTGGAGCACCTCCCGTATGAAGACCGGCTAAGAAAACAGAAATTTCCAAACTTCTGTAACAGAAATTACACCCAGCTTTCTGCATTTCTCTCCGTTTCTGAGTTTGAGCCCATATGCACAGCATGGTACTGCATCTCAGTACCATACCAAGGTGAAATCCCAAAGCTTCTTGTTTTCACAAGAAGAAAACCTATACACACAAGCTACCTGGCTCTAATCAAGAAAACTAGGAGAAGATCTGAGACCAGCCACAGGTAAACTTCATCTTCCCTTCCTTAGGGAAGTAGATACAAATGACCATATGCACAGACACAGACCAAAAGTAATCATTTTGAAATATAAGAAGGACAGGATTGCACACTACCAAGAATTCACAAGGGACTTAACACTGTGTTAAGTTCAAATAATTATAAGAAACATTCTCAGCTGAGAATAAGTTGAGCGGCAGATCAGCAGTAAACTCAGAAAAACAAACAGGGTAACAATATTCTATGGAAGCAATGTTATAAAGTATATTTGAACACTACCACAGTTCTAGACCTTTAAAGACTTTGCTTTAGGATCCAAGAACGATTTTGGTAATAAAGAAAGTTATGTTTGTTTATAACCTGTTTAGAAAAGCTTATGATATTGTTAGGTGGGCACAGACACAGCTGATGTACAAATCAGATATTACAGGAATGGGGTTAGATACTCTTTCATAGAAAAGATTCTTATATATAATCTCACATCCATTCTCCATAGAAAAGAATCTTCCCTCTGTCCAAAGAGAACAACTATGGCTTGCAGGTACATCAAAAAGGGGCAGTAACATGCACTTTATTTCCAAATCCCAAGCATGTCATGAAAGCAACAAGAAGTAATACCACTCAAAGTAGTAAAATTCCTTGTTTCCAAATGGAAAAGCGTAACTTCTTTCCATGACAGAGTTTTACCACTTCAAAGAGCTCAGTGCTTCTAAATCTCTCTAAAAAAGGTGAAGGTGTGCCCTACAGACCACCTCGTACTTCGGCATGATAAGCATCATTCTCTCTCAGAAACATTTTCAGAGATTTTGCATAGAACAAAAATCAGACTGCTAAGAAAAAAAAAAATAGGTCACTCTCATTCTCAGTCAACAGGTTACACTAATAAACCCGTATCTCCTTATATTAACAGCATTCAGGGCACGAAGTGAAAGGACAAGGGGCAATGGTTTTAAACTGAGATTTAGATCAGATATTAGGAAGTAGTTCTTTACTGTAAAAGTGGTGAAGCACTGGCACAGGTTGCCAAGAGAAGCTGTAGCTGCCCCTTCCCTGGCAGTGCTCAAGGCCAAGTTGGCACAACCTGGTCTAGCAGAAAGTGTCCCTGGCCATGGCAAGGGGTTAGAGCTGGATGATCTTAAGCTCCTTTCCAAACCAAACCATTCTATGATTCTATAGTCAGCACTGCCTAAACGGGAGGAGGCTAAGAAACAACACTAATGGTGTTGTGAAACACTGAAAGAGGGAGAAAAAGGGACAAGCTAAAGAACAAAAAGACTTTTTCACATCTGAAAGGCAAGAGATAAAGAATGGGTGAAGCGCCTAGAAATAAATTGAAAGGACACAGGAAGAGAGTGGATTTCAAAGATTCCCCCAAGAGTCTAAAAAAATTATTAAAAAATATGTCAAACTTACATTGTCCAGCAGCTCCTACACGTAAATTTGCTTCCTAAGGCGGCACAGGCACCTGGACCACCACAGACATCCTCCCCGTCGGCATCTCCGAGCCTGGGCTCCGTTTTCACCTAGAGAGAAAGCAGGCCCCACGTCGGCGCACACCCGCGCGGCTCCCCAGCTAGTACCTACAGAGGAGGGAAGCGGCACGGCGCCGGCAGACCCTCCGAGCGC